CCTGTGATGTGGGCAGTGCTACTATTCTGGGAAGGCAATCTTTGCAGGACTTCACTTGTAAAGGTAATCCAGATCGATGCAACGTGCATCCGGAGAACATTCGTTCAGTTCTGGTTTCTCGCATTCGTTCACACCCACGTATGCGAGGCACTGTCGTCCCGGATGAGAAGGATTCAGATCCCGGTAGCCGTTCGGGCATTGGCAGCTGGAAAATTATCCAGTTAAAGCAACACCTCTCAGATGGAACTTTTGGGTCACACGGCCGATAATGGAGTTGTTTATGGCCAAGTTGGCTGAAAACGAAAAAACAAGCAAAGAAAACCGTCGATGAAGCTTTAAAGAAAGCTTTTCCCTGAAAGAGAGAAGGGCGGCGGCGACTTAACTCGTCCAAATGCTAATATCAGTCGCCTGAAAGTGGCTATCGCCATCGCTCCGCGCTTCGCAACCGCCACAGGACGGCAACCATTAGTGAAAATTCGTAGACTTCTGTACCCCATCCATGAACAGATTCTTCGACACAGTTTCTGCTAGCTTGGGCTAGGGTGCTGCTTGCGCCGTTTAACCCTTTGACTACCGCAGTGCGTGCGTTGCTTCATTTATTTTTGAATTTTTTCATCAATATCCATTAACACTCCAACAATTTCATTATTAGTAATGAGCACATTGTTTTGCGATTCCGATAATGTATACGGGTAGCTTTAAAACACTTCAAAAATGCCAAATAAATCACGAAAAACGAGTCGCCTCCGAGTGAAAGTGTGGCCCACCGGCGGGCCACACGGTCGTCAAAGGGTTAACAACCAGCTAGTACAAACAACTCGGGCCCACCTATCTCTCTCAATCAATGCACCACGTAACCCGCGGTGAACTACTATAAAAAAAACAAACAAACTCGAAACGGAGGAGAGAAAAAAGAGAGATTGGTGGCCCGAAGTTCTCTGACAGCTGGGTTGTTGTTAACCCTTTGACGACCGTGTGGCCCGCCGGTGGGCCACACTTTCACTCGGAGGCGACTCATTTTTCGTGATTTATTTGGCATTTTTAAGTGTTTTAAAACTACCCGTATACATTATCGGAATCGCAAAACAATGTGCTCATTACTAATAATGAAATTGTTGGAGTGTTAATGGATATTGATGAAAAAATTCAAAAATAAATGAAGCAACGCACGCACTGCGGTAGTCAAAGGGTTAAAACGGCGCAAGCAGCACCCTAGCCCAAGCTAGCAGAAACTGTGTCGAAAGAATCTGTTTCAATGGATGGGGTACACGAAGTCTAACGCATTTTCCACAATGTGCCGTTGTGGCGGTTCGAAAGCGCGCGACGATGGCGCTAGCCACTTTCAGGCGACTGATATTAGCATTTGGACGAGTTAAGTCGCGCCGCCCTTCTCTCTTTCAGGGAAAAGCTTTCTTTAAAGCTTCATCGACGGTTTTCCTTTGCTTGTTTTTTCGTTTCAGTCAACTTGGCATAAACAACTCCATTATCGGCCGTGTGACCCCAAAAGTTCCATCTGAGGGTGTTGCTTTAAATGGATAATTTTCCAGCTGCCAATGCCCGAACGGCTACCGGGATCTGAATCCTTCTCATCCGGGACGACAGTGCCTCGCATACGTGGGTGTGAACGAATGCGAGAAACCAGAACTGAACGAATGTTCTCCGGATGCACGTTGCATCGATCTGGATTACCTTTACAAGTGAGTCCTGCAAAGATTGCCTTCCCGGAATACTGTAACTCTGTCCACTTCACAGGTGTGAGTGTGTATCTCCGTACGTGAACGCGGCTCCCGAAGGAGCAGTACCCGGCTCCGTTTGTACCATCGACTACTGCTCTGATGTGCACTACTGTCCATTGAACTCGACCTGTAAAAATGTCGGCGATCAGGTAATTTTTGTAATTCCACTGAAAAATTTGGGGTTTATAAACTGCTTAATTTCAGGCTAAGTGCGACTGTAACGCTGGTTTTGTCGATCTACGCAAGTCGGATAGACTATCAGAGGTGAGTCTTGGTTCATTTTTAGCCCGGAAAGGGTAACCCTTATGTCAGACCTAAAAGGGATACGCGCGCTATTTCAGGCTGGCCTCGGTGATGCGATCTGCATGCGACACACGGATGTGAATGAGTGTCTCCTTGGACTGCATAATTGCAGTGCGGCAGCGATCTGTACAGACCTGAAGTACGGTTACGAATGCAAGTGTCCTGATGGGTAAGTTGGAGAGACCAATAGCAAGCTGCCATGGCAGAGACGCAGAGAACAGACCTTGTTGTCTGGCGCTCTAGAGTACAGTTTTCCACCGTTTCAGCTATACCGATGGTAACCCATCGGAACCAGGCGGGTATGTGCAGCGTTGCTGTGCGGTCTGTGCAACGGCCACGGTGACTGTATTCACGACAGTGTCACCAACAACGTCACCTGCGCATGTGTCGACGGCTATTCTGGACAGTTCTGCGAGGTAATCGATATTTCGATCGTATATGGTATTGGTCACATTATCGATCGACTCGTAGAAATTCGCAAAACAGGTGTTCAGATAGAATTGCAGGAGAAACCTTCGAGTAACGGGCCGCAGCATTGTTGAAAAGCATATGCTGCCGGAGGTTTCTCCTGCAGGTCTACCTGAGATGTGCTTTGGAAGCTTAGGCAACCCTCTGGTACGGTAGCCTAGGAGGGCTACAAATAACCCACCCCAATTAATTTGCTCGCATTTATAATTATGATCCAGGACCCTGATAAGTAGGCTAACCTAAGATGCTAGCCCCATTTTCACGCGCCACTTGTGCATTTCTATGTATAGCACTCTTTTTTTAGCATCAAGCCATATAAGAGTGCTCGATGCCGAATTGGGGGTCCAGTGACCTTTGAAGGAGAACCACCTGAGTACATAACTTATACCTTCTTGTTATCCGTGACAAAGCTCTCGAATGCGAATGCTAACCATACTGCATCGTCAGCATTTGACGCACCCCATCAGCCTCCCCCACCCCACAGAGTGCGCCCGAGAACAATATCATCGTTTTTTTCATGTTCGGTAAAAGAAAACCTTTTACGAGAAATTTTCAGGAATTTGATCGGAGGGCTCGTTAATGCCGTCATGACCTTTTTAAAATTTTATTGACATTGGCATTGAAAATTTTTAAAAATAGATGTGCTTTTGTAAATCCCAATGCGAAGCCGCGGCTATTCCTCATGATCTCAATGCCTTCAATGTGCAACGCGATCTCTTAGTTGTGAGTCGTTGTAGGACTTCAAAGCAGCGTTGGACAACCGTCATTCCAATTCGAGGAATTTGACCATTTGCCCAATCCCCCCTCCCCTCCACCTCTATCAGAAGGAACCTCGATACGACCCTATCACCACCGTCAGCCTCAGAGAGATTCCCAGCCCCTCCCGTAACCTCTTCTTTGAATTCCAAAAATGCGATCCTCTTTTCAACCTTTGGACCTTCGCCAACCCAAAATACGCCCCCTCTCTCCCCTTCAAAAATTGCGCAACAGTTGAGCGTGCTTTGAGTGAGGAATTGTGTTAATGATTTACCGATAATTTAAGAGGAGAAACTAAATTGAAAAAGCTCTCGAAGCAATTCTTAAGTTGATCGTAAGGGCAGAGACCGATGTGAATGTGATTTTATTCCAAGGCGCAGTAGCCCATACCTAGCCACGCACAGAACATTTCTTCAGGTCAATAGATCTTAATCCTCGCTCTTGTCCATGCAGCTGTCCAGCATCTGCTTATTTATTTGTTTGCCGGTAACTCCCATCAGCGGCTCCCGAAGGAGCAGTACCCGGCTCCGTTTGTACCATCGACTACTGCTCTGATGTGCACTACTGTCCATTGAACTCGACCTGTAAAAATGTCGGCGACCAGGTAATTTTTGTAATTACACTGAAAAATTTGGGGTTTATAAACTGCTTAATTTCAGGCTAAATGCGACTGTAACGCTGGTTTTGTCGATCTACGCAAGTCGGATAGACTGTCAGAGGTGAGCCTTCGGTATTTTCAGCCCGGAAGGAGTAACTCTCATACCGAACCTAAAAGAACGCGCGCTATTTCAGGCTGGCCTCGGTGATGCGATCTGCATGCGACACACGGATGTGAATGAGTGCCTCCTTGGACTGCATAATTGCAGTGCAGCAGCGATCTGTACAGACCTGAAGTACGGTTACGAATGCAAGTGTCCTGATGGGTGAGTTGGAGAGACCAATAGCAAGCTGCCATGGCAGAGACGCAGAGAACAGACCTTGTTGTCTGGCGCTCTAGAGTACAGTTTTCCACCGTTTCAGCTATACCGATGGTAACCCATCGGAACCAGGCCGGGTATGTGCAGCGTTGCTGTGCGGTCTGTGCAACGGCCACGGTGACTGTATTCACGACAGTGTCACCAACAACGTCACCTGCGCATGTGTCGACGGCTATTCTGGACAGTTCTGCGAGGTAATCGATATTTCGATCGTATATGGTATTGGTCACATTATCGATCGACTCGTAGAAATTCGCAAAACAGGTGTTCAGATAGAATTGCAGGAGAAACCTCCGAGTAACGGGCCGCAGCAGTGTTGAAAGCATATGCTGCCGGAGGTTTCTCCTGCAGGTCTACCTGAGGATGTGCTTTGGAAGCTTAGGCAACCCTCTGGTACGGTAGCCTAGGAGGGCTACAAATAACCCACCCCAATTAATTTGCTCGCATTTATAATTATGATCCAGGACCCTGAATAAGTAGGCTAACCTAAGATGCTAGCACCATTTTGCTCGGCGCCACTTGTGCATTTCATGTATAGCGCTCTTCTTTTAGCATCAAGCCATATAAGAGTGCTAGATGCCGAATTGGGGGTCAGTG